GTCCACAGTAGCTGCCCCAGTGGAGGAGCCCTGCCTGAACCCTGCACGGTCTCCTTCCCCGCCCCCCCACAACCCCACGGCGGCCTGATCCACCCACCCCTTTTGAATCAGCAACGGCTGGGAGGGATCCAGAGGCCGGCTGTGGTTAGCCAAGGATGAAGGCGGGGGGGGGGGAGAGGGGGAAATGTTATTTTTATGGCCTTCTTGTGTTGTTGCGTTATTTTTAGTGACTCCTACACACGAGGTTACGCTAAGCTCTGGAAAAAAATGCTTTAGAAGGTTTATGGCACCGCTTCGTTTGCTTTAGGGGAGCTGCCCTTTTTGGGGGGGGGGAAGGGAAGGAGGAAGGGAGGGAAAACCAGTCTGCCCTCCTGCCCCCCTTCTTCTCCTGACCATGCCCCCCCCCACTCTCTGGGCCCTTGTTTATGGGTTGGCATAACCCGAGGGCAGATCTCCTCTTTTGCAAAAGGAGCACCTATGCCACCCCCCAGAAAAAGTGAAGGAGAAAGGGCCACGCCTTCCCCCTCCCCCCAAAAAAGAAACGGTACTTTCTATTTGTTCAAGAGAAAAGGGAAACGAACAAGGGTGGTGGTTGGGGGGGGGGTTGCTGCAAATCCTCTCCTCCCCAGGGTCACCTCTAGATTTCTGGTGGTGGTGAAATTTTGCTGCCTGGGGGCAAAGGGACTGTCATTTTTTCTTTTGCTAATTTAAATAGATTTTTATAGTTTCTGTAAATTAATTGATTAAGGTTTTTTGTTAACCGTATTCCTAAATATTTAAAACTTGAATAGCATAACTTTAAATGAGATGCTTTTTAAATTTCGTTTTGTTCTATAATTTAGACATAATATTTTAGATTTTTGGAAATTAATTTTTAAACCTGTATACTGACTATATTCCTGTAATATTTCTTTTAAGTGTTCTATTCTTCTTAACGGGTCCTCTAGCAGTGTGATGTGGCTACAAAAAAGGGCAAATGCTATTTTAGGCTGCATTAACAGAACTATAGTCTCCAAATCCTGTGAGGTACTAGTTTCCCCTCTATTGGGCACTGGTTAGGCCTCACCTTGACTACTGTGTCCCAATTCAGGAAACAACAACCCGGCAGCCTCTGGAGACGGGCCGCTTCCCAAGACAGCCCCTCCCCCCTGGGGCGGGCAGGGAGACCGGTTGCCCACCAGTTAGGGGGGCTGCAGGGGCTCCCCTCCGCCCTCAAGGGAGAAGGAGCCCTCGCCCTCCCCTGCTTTCTCCATGGGGCTGTGTGTGTGTGTGTGTGTGTGCAGGCACACCTGCATGCATGCATGGAAAATAACCAGTTGCTGTGAAGCTGCCTTCCTGCCCCCCCCCCGTCCATGACCCTGCCAAAGCGAGGGAGGGAGGGAGGGAGCCAGGCGGTGGTGGGGCAGGACAGCCCTCCCCCCTTGCTGGGGGAAGGGGGCACTGCAGGGCCCCACTGGGCACCTCGCCAGCGCCCCCCAGAGGGGCCATCAACAGATACAAGGGGGCAATAACCCCTCCAGATTCCTCTGACCTATCCCAACATCCCCAGCCAGCATGGGCATGATGGGAGCTGTAGTACGACAGGCCGGCAGAGTCACCGATTGGCCACGACCATCACGGGCCCCTCGGTCGATGTGGAGAAAGCTCCCTGGGAAGGGCAAACCCTGGGGAGGAAAAGGGGGGGGTCCTGACCAGGAAAGCTTGTCAGGAGTTGCTTTGGACAGCCCCCCTCCTTTCCCACAGGGGTGTGTGTGGGGTGGTGGTGGTGGTGGTGTGTCATCATCATCATCATCAGCAGCAGCAGCAGCAGCAGCAGGGACAGTAACAGGGAAGGTCTTGTCCTGAAAGGGATCCCGGGGGTGGGGTGAGGGTTTTCAGGGAAGGCTTTGAAGGGAAGGACAAGGCGCTCATCCTGGATGGAGGCAAGGGCAGGGTGGGGACCCGAGGAGGAGGAGGAGGAGGAGGAGGAGCAGAGCCCCCCCCGCCGTGTCCGAGCCACGGGACACGTAACCTGTATCCCATGGGGTGAGGGTGGAGGGCAAAGGGTGGGGGGTCCAGAAACCCCAGCCAGAAAGGAGGCAGCGGGGAGCAGGCCGGGAGAGCGAGCGAGACGTGCAGGACACGCCACGCCACGCCACGCACGCAGCCAGGGAAGCCACCAGTCAAGGAGGGGAGCCGGGGAGCGTGAAAGAGTGGACCCCCTTTCTCGCCTGGAGCATCCGGTCTTTCTTACAGAAAAAGGTGAGGTCACAGGAAACCAGAGAAGCCGCTGCCACTGAGCGGGCGGAGGATGTGGGAAAGCGTTGCACGGTGCACGAGGAAGCGCTTCTGTGCAACAGCGGCAGAAATTCTGCAAACCACCCTTTCCCCTTCCCAATGGGGGGGGGGAGAGAGAGAGAGAGGAGGGGCCTGGGACCCCCCACCCCACCCCAGCCAGGTGCCCTTTTTCTGCCGGCCTCGGGCAGGCCCTCCCCTCCCGTCCTGCGGCCTGAGCCCAGGTACCTTTCTTGTACTTGTGAACCGGGATCTTCTTCAGCTGCTCTTTGGACAGGCGGTTCCTCCTCATCCGCTTCCGATGCTGGACGCAGCGCACGATCTGCTCAGCCGGGAGAGGGAAAGACAGGAGGTGGGCCCCCCTTCTGTGGAAGAGCCCCCGGGGCTCCCTGCTTCTCCTTCGCACCCTGGCGCACGCACGGGCACGCTCCCTTCCTTTCGCTTAGGCTCTCTGACCAGATGTTCAGCAGCATCTGCCACCATGTGCCACGTACAGTACAAGAAACCACGGTCGCCCACTGCCCACCACGGCAAGCCCCACTCTGCAGAGGCTGGCCCCGGCTCTCTCCTTTCGCCGACTGGCCGCAGCCCAGCTTCGAGGGACAGAAGCCCCCCCTCGAAGCACAGAGCCTCTTTTCTGCCTCCCGGGCACCCCCGATACCCTCTTTCAGCTTGGCAAGGCAGAGGTTCCCCACCCCCACCCCCCACTCACCAGAATGGTGCACATGACTGCTATGACGATGCCCACCACGCCCGTGAAAGGGATGAGGTAATAGCCCAGTGGAAAGATGTACTCCGGGATCAAGATGATGTGCCCCCTGCGGAGGAGGGAGAGAAACGGGGGGGGGG